GCTAAATTTTCCGACCAAAAAGGACTTTTGATTTAAAAAAATATGCCTTACCGGTCCTCTTCTAATATTTTTAAGTAAATACCAATAATGTTAAACACAAATTTTAAAATAAATTATAGGTAAGATTCTACATAATCCTTTTGAACTTGCCGTCATGTTATGTATGGATAATATTTCCAGGAGCCTATGTAAAACTGTAAAATGAAATCCCTGAACGCTCACATTCATACATATAATATTGGAAGATTGTGCGTTGGGCCAATCAATTGGATGAATAGCATTCGGTGTTCATGATGCCATTCACATGGATACCGATTGCGTCGAGGAGCAGCATCTATGATCTAAATTATTTCAAGTTCAATTTGGTAAGTTACCCTTTGTCTGTTTAAGACCCTTCTTGGGGGCTCTGATATGACTAAAAAACGTAACACAACCCTTTCAAGATTATATTTTTGTTTAGTATGTATTTGCACATATAGCTTAAAGGATGAAGAGACTAGTACAAATAAAATTTAAGATAATTTATAATTGGTGGTTGGAAGTCATCTCAACTTCTTCCTTTGTGATTTGACGCTGATTACTATCATATCTTTTTTTTTTTTGGGCAAGATTACTATCATATCATACGTATCAAGATTCAAGGATCAAAAAGTCGACTAACCCTTCCTTTTATCTTCATTATATCATTCCTCGCACCAGATAGACAAGATGAAAATAAATATGTAATAGAATTATTTTAGGGAGAGAAGAGGACGAGGGGCATTTTGCTAAGATTCAATTAATAAAATTACTTTTAAAGAATTAATCCGAATACAGCACTAGCATCTCAATGTGAAAACTTCCCCATGACTCGAAGAACTTCCCAACACTCTTGTCACACCAATTAAACCCAGAAAGCTACTTTTGCGTTGGCAAAAAAAAGAAAAAAAGGAAGAAGAAGCTACTTTTGCATGTGGAGATGTCCTCCAAATGTGATCCAAACACGCGTCCTTTGTCCTCACCTCTCATTCTAACCCTATTCACTATCCTCGATCTGGCAGTCAAATATTCCGCGCATGCCGATAAAGCATGATGCGGACATTACACTGTGAACGCAGGAAAGGCGACTGGGGTGAGCCGTTTTTGTTCATAGTACTCCTCTAGTCTATTTATTAGAAGATTTTTTTAGTTCTATTTATAAATTATTTTATTAAATTTTAATATGAATATATTATTCTGTTTTTTATTTATTATAGTGTAAATAGTTATCTCTTTTAAAATGTCTATATATTACATGTAGGTAAAGTTAAAAAATTATTATATTTTAATAGAGAGTTAATACATTTTAAAATTTTCTTTTTGTCTATGTAAAATATACTAAAAATATCTTATAATAGGATCAGAAGAGTAGTCAGCAGTGGAGCACTTGGAATCTTATAAATGAGTCTTAGTTCCTTCTCCATGACAGAGTAGCCAGCTTAGTTAAATTAATAAATTTATTTAAAAATTAATTTTACAAAATAAATTACTTTTAAAAAACTTAAATAAATATCTAAATTTAATGGACTCTTTTTGCCGTCCAAAGTGCCGGACTTAAAAGAAACACTAAGCTGGTCACGTGCTTTTTTGGGCCAGAAGTCAGTCAATTGTTATTATTATTTAGTTACAGTCCTACCATAATGTTTGTTTGAGTCAGGCTTTTGGACGGCAAAAAGACAAAATTGTGGCCTTTGAATTAAAGTATTATATGAAGTTTTTCGCTCAAAAAAAAAAAAGTATCATATGAAGTCGCTTTCCCTTACTGGCATCGATACGATATATGATGTGAAAATTGTGATCCGTTGAAGCGTGTTATTGCGCTGCTGTCTGATTCCGTCAATAAGCCATGGCTGCTTCTGCTTCTTCTTCTAGTTCTTCCCGGACTTACCATGTGTACTTGAGTTTTAGAGGTGAAGAAACTCATTTGAGTTACATTCATCCTCTTTGTAAGGCTCTGAAACAGAGAGGAATCCGTGTTTTCATGAACGAAGCTATGGAGAAGGGAGAGAATATCGCTGAATCATTACTGCAATCAATTGAAGCATCACAAATTGCGTTGGTAATTTTTTCTCAAAATTATGCTTCTTCCAAATGGTGTCTGCATGAGGTGGTGAAGATAATGGAGTGTAAAAGAAGTCAAGCTCTGGTGGTTATGCCCATATTCTATAAAGTAGATCCATCAGATGTTCGTTTTCAGAGAGGCAAATATCGTAAAGCAATGGAAGACTACGAGCAAGCGGGAACGGGGAGAGATAAGCTTTTCTGGTGGAGGAAAGCACTCACAGAAATTTCCGACCTTCCCGGCTTTTCTCACGAACACAGGTGGTTGTTGGATTCACCCCTTTCTATTTCATAAATAATTCTATACATTTTGGAACTACTTGGGGCATGTTTACTTCGCATAAATTCTTTATTTTTTACACTCTTTAGAGACATGTTTACTTGGGACATCCGGCCTTTTTTGGTTTCATCTTAATTCAGCTTCCGTCCTTCATGCTTGTGCTTGGGGTATCTTTAAATTTTCCTTAGCATTTGGATCACTAATCTGCCACTTTTGAAATTTCGAAACCCCACCGGTTTCAAGGATTTATAATAATTTTAGTTGAAAATTTGTTCAATTAAAGTAAATAGACACGCATTACTTAGTATGCATAAGAATTATTTTTTTAAAAAAACCAGGCATCTTTATATGAAATTTATTTTTCAAAAGACAGACAAAAGGGACAAGTTTAAGATTTTGAGATACATGTTGAAAATTTGCATTTGGACGGTCTTCAAACAAGAATACTATGGCATCTACATTCTACTACACTGTTCTGGGATGAAATTTACGAGTTGACATTTAATTTTCACTGACAATTATTTATTATATTAAAATAGGAGCCCATCCGATCCAATTACTTTTTTTTTAAAATTTTGTTTGCAATTAGCAGTGAACAACCAGGGCAAGGGTGCGGGCACCGAAAAATGTTAAAATAGTTAGGATTTTAAAAAAATAAAAAATTGTATATAATAATATAGGTCATATAGTAACTTGAGCCTTAATTCTATATTTATATTTAATGGTCCAATCTAGTAATGATGATGATGCGTGCTAATTATGGTTTCCCTGATGTTTAATTTAGTGTTGACAGCGGGTCCGCAAGTGAGCAGCTTGAGGAAATTGTTGAGAAAGTTTTATCGTTGGTCAGGGAGCATCCAATGAGAATAGAATCACAAATTCATGAACCAAAAGTTGATAAATGGTTCCATTATGACGTGTTTTTGAGTTTCAGAGGTAAAGACACTCGTCACGGTTTCACTTCTACTCTTTATAGGGCTCTAAGACGGTCAGGAATCCACGCTTTCATGGACGATTCGGGGCTTGAAAGGGGAGAAGAGGTCTCTGCCTCATTAATGCAAGCAATTGAAAGATCACAAATTAATTTGGTAATATTTTCTCCAGATTATGCTTCTTCCAGTTGGTGTCTGGATGAATTGGTGAAGATAATGGAGTGTCGAAGAAGTCTAGCTCAGGTGGCTATCCCCATATTCTATGGAGTAGAGTCGTCTGACGTTCGTCATCAGAGAGGCGCCTATGGTAAAGCAATGAAACGACACGAAGAAAGGTTGGGAAGTGAGAATGATGAGGTGATGCGATGGAGGGAGGCACTCAGGGCAGCTGCCAACATTTCCGGCTTTGTCTTTTCATGGTAATACTGTGATTAAACCAACTCTCATTAAAAAAGGAAAAAAGAAGTGATTATTGGTCAAACTCAAAATATATTCCCATGCGGCCATAAGCGTTGTGTGAAAATTTCCCCAATTGCTGCAAAATACTAGCCGTTTCTTAATATAAAAACTAATTATAGAACCAGTTTAGTCTTAAATGTAAGACTGCAATTCAATTTATTTCCTATATTTATCGATCTACAGGTACTCCTTAATTATAGTTAAGGGGTGATTAACAATAATTTATTACAAATAACTAACTTAACTAATTTTTTTAATATTCACAAATTAATTATCTAGCTCTTATATTAGGTACCACATAGTAGTTGGATTAACCCTTTTCTATTTCATAAATAATTCTGTTCTCCGACATTTTGCTTGCATAAATAATACAATCGTGTGGGTGGTGAGAATTTCAGTTTTATATTTTTAATAAAAATTCTGAATGTAGGAGAGAATGTAATATGTTTGGTTAGAGAGACAATTTAATATTTTAAAATTTATATTTTGATATTTGCTTCTCCTAGATAATTACAATTCTTACAATCTTATTATTATTATATTAATAAGTTTGAGAAAGGAAGAACATATACATAACAAGGTGTCTGGATGTTGTTGGAAGGAAGCTTATGCGGTACAAAACTGATTTTATGTGACTGAGTAACGGATATTACTTGTTTGTTAAATGAAGGATAGTATTGAGTTGAGTTGTACTTTAGTGCTAACAAATTTTCTTGGATATAACTTCCTATTATTATTGATCTTGATGGAAAGCATTGGTTTGAATGACTGATTGGGAATACCATTTCAAGCCTAATAAGTGCATGCTAACTGCTACCTATCATAAGTACTTGAACAATTGATGTTTACCTCTCATGTTTATCTATTGAAATATGGTTCTATTTTGTGTCTAGGCAAATGCATGAGAAACATGAAGTTATAACAGAAGTTGATAACAAACTGTCGTGACTGAAATTTTGATATGAATATTGTTTTTCTCATTGATTGAATATCCTTGTTTTATACATGTATGTTTAAATGACGCGAGTATAAAGTCTATGAAAGGAGTTTTAAGATTTGGATTATGAATATTTTGCAAATCTCTTGCAAGATTGAATTTTCATAATATACGAGAGTAATTTTCATTTATGGAGATAAATGATTTCTTATAAGATTCTGAACCCTTTTATCAGAGGAATTAGACACAGTCGTTGTTATTTGTAGCGTACATGTCATGCTTGTTATTCATGACCTCTGTGCCATGCTTGTTATTCATGGCCTATAGACTTTTTCTTCGTGGCATTTGTGCTGCACCTGTTATTCATGACGATGTGCTTGTTATTCGTGGCCTCCATATTGCATTTGTTATTTGTGGCTTTTGAGCTGCATTTGTTATTTGTTTTGTCTTGGTTCCTCTAATGAAACAAATTTTTAGAGGAAAAAAATTTTCAACATTATTTTGTATTATTGAAAATAAATTCTTTTATTGAATTTTTTATTATTTAAATTGTACTTGTGATTATTTTCTTTGGTTCCTAATTGTGTTTAATATAAGAATAGTTATAAAAAGTTTGAAAACGAGGTTTATACATACAATAATCCAAAAAAATTTATCTCGTTCATATTTCGAAATTTGTGTCAATAGCAAACTTGCATTCACACATTTATTTCTAGTGTTTAATAGATTTGAATTATCAAAGTATGGCTCTCAATTAATTGTGATTCAATATTTATTTACTGCTCTTAGATTATTTTAGTAATAAATTGTGCATCGAGACTCCATTTACTTGCCTAGTTAATTGTAATTCAGATTGTATAAATATCATCTACTGTGGATAATTGTATTAGTGGTTATGATAAAGTTGATTTTATGATAACTCTGATTTATTCTTTTGTTGTATACAGAAGTTGCTCCACAAAATTTATAGATACGATGTCCCCTTCCTTGTTTGTTTATTTACAAATGCCTAAATTAAGGGAAAGGGTCTCATATCTTGTTCAAAGAAAGAATTTGTTGATTGATTGTTGCAGATATGTCTAAGAAGTCCAGTGTATAAAGAGATCTATGTTGAGTATTTATACATAAGTTCGTGAATGAATATTATAATGTCATATGATATTTTATTAATAATGTAGATCTTGCTAATTGTAAGATGAAAATATTAAATTAGACGAACTTACAAAGTGAAGTTACCCTATACTTCGTGCTGATCGTCAAGCTGCTGTAAGTATCGGCGTGACGAAAGAAACTGAGCAATGTTAACATACAACTCCAACGCCCTCTGTGTGCCATTGGCCTTCTTTTGAAGCCTTCTCTTATTCGGTTCCAGTAATTAATCCCCACTCATTTATCCAATACTTGAAAGCTTTCCTATGATGCATATAAATATTTAGTAGCTAAGTTGGTCCATCTCTTGCTCTCAAAGGTCCACTAACATTCTTCCATTTAAAAATAAGTCTTGTGGGTTTTATTTTTGATAGTAATGTTATATATGTCGTTGATTATATTGTTTCATTGGTATTTAATATTGACAGGTCTCCATATGAGTTGATTGAGACTATTGTTGAGAGTGTTTCTGAAAGAGTAGACCATGGACAATTATTTGTTGCTGAGCATCCAGTGGGAATAGAATCACGGATTCAAGAATTGACAATTGAATGGTCAGAAAAGAGATCTCAAAAACCTCTTATCATAGGCCTATGGGGGATGGGAGGTATCGGCAAAACAACTGTTGCTAAAGGCATCTACAATACAATTGGCCCACAGTTTGGAAGAGCACGAAGTTTTCTTGCAAATATAAGAGAAAATTCAAAAAGTGCTAATGGCTTAGTTGTTTTGCAGAAGCAATTAATTTCTGATATCATTAAGACAGATTTTTCCAAGATACCTAATATTGATAGAGGGAAAAGAATAATTCAGGAAAGATTTCCTACCATAAAAGCATTTGTTGTATTGGATGATGTGGATAGTATCAATCAACTGAACACATTTTGTGGGAGTATTGAATGGTTTTGTCCTGGGAGTATAATATTCATAACAACTAGAGATCTACATTTGCTTGACGTTATTAATGCTGACCATAAGTATAGAATGAGAAAAATGAAGGGAACAGAGCCTCTTCTACTTTTCAGTTGGCATGCCTTTAAGCAACCACAACCCTCTGAAAACTTTGTAAAATTATCTGAAAAGGTAGTTTCTTATTGTGATGGACTTCCACTAGCTCTTGAAGTCCTTGGTTCTTATTTGCATGGGAGAAAAGAAAAACAATGGGAGAGTGCATTGTCCAAACTACAGAGGATTCCTAAGAAAGATATACACAAAAAGTTAAAAATAAGTTATGATGCATTGGACAACCATACAGAAAAGGATGTTTTCCTTGACATATGTTGCTTTTTTATCAACAAGGACAGCAACTATGTTACACAGATATTAGATGGTTGTGAACTTCATGCAGAAAATGGATTACAAATCCTCATAGAGCGGAGCCTGGTGAAAGTAGGTAGAAATAATAAGCTTGAAATGCATGATTTATTACAAAAAATGGGAAAAGAAATTATCCGTGAAGACTCACCTAAAGATCCTGAGAAACGTAGCCGACTATGGTCTCAAGAAGATGTGCTTGATGTGTTAACAGATCATACAGTAAGAATTTTCTTAATATACTGATTTATTTTCCAAGTTTTGATGTCAAGGGATGCATTATCTTTTTCTAAAATACAATTATCACCTTCGTTTTTCATTGCTACATTATATGTGTTTCATAGCCTTTGTCATAGCAATCTTGTACATAAGAAGCAAGATCAAGATATATATATATATATATATATATATATATATGTTGGCTATTGATTGGCTTTCTCTCAACATTTATCATATGTTTTTCCTTGCTTGTAACGTTTTTTTCTCCTATGTATTTATAGGGAACCAAAGCTATTGAGGGTATATCTCTAAAGGTACCAAAAACCCATAGAGATCCCATCGATTCTAAGGCATTTAAGAAGATGAAGAAACTCAGATTACTCCAACTAGACTATGTGAATCTTAAAGGAGATTATAAACATCTTTCCAAAAAGCTGAGGTGGGTTCGTTGGCATGGATTTCCATCAAAATACACTCCAAACAACTTTTACCAAGAAAAACTGGTTGCTATTGACTTCAAATATAGCAAGCTCAAAGTAGTTTGGAAAGAGTCCAAGGTATATATGTTTGTTGTTACGATCTATGAAGACAATCAACAACACTCACAATATAATTCTTCTTGTCTAAAGTTTCTAATTCTTCACATGCATGTTTTGTAGAAGTTGCCAATGTTGAAGACACTCAATCTCAGTCATTCACCTTCCTTGATACAAACTCCTGATTTTACATATCTACCAAATCTTGAAAAGCTTATGATGAAAGATTGTGAGAGCTTGATTTTAATTCACGAGAGCATTGGGGATCTAAAAACTCTCCTTCATCTTAATCTAAAAGGTTGCAAGAGTCTCAAAGATCTTCCTAGAAGCATCTACAAGTTGAAATCATTGAAGACTTTCATTATTTCTGGGTGTTCATCGATTGACCATTTAGAAGAAGACATTGAGCAAATGGAGTCTTTGACGGCTCTTATGGCAGATAACATTTCCATAACACAACTACCCAAGTCAGTAGCAAGATTGAAAGGGCTTAAGCGTGGATATGTATCTTTCGCTGGTCATGAAGGAAAAGGGCAAGATATATTTCCTTCTCTCGTATGGTCTTGGATGTCACCTCATGATTTTCCTCAATCCGGTATTGAAGAATCTATGCAAAGCGTATCATCGATAGCTGCCTCAATTGGACGGAATAGTGGCTTGCGGGGTCTATGTCAATTTCTGGGCGATCTTGTGAAGCTTCCAGGTACGTGGGAGCAATGTCGATTACAGTTTCGATTTAATGAGAGAATGACAAAATTTTTGGATGCATTGTGTGAGAGAAATTTTATGGAATTTAATTTAACTCAAGATACACCCGAGATCTCAATGATGGAAGCTTCTGCGTCATCTAAGGGCCATGATGACCAAGTTCACAGTGCAAGGTCAGCAGATTCCGTCAATTCTCTTTTACTTCAACTGGGAGAGTGCGACAAAGCAGAGTTGCTAAAAGAGAAACTTTTACAGGTTTGTCTCTTTTTCTTTCTTCTTGTTTTTTTAAGCTATACTTAACGTGTGTGTGTGTTTTGTGTGTTAATATAAGGATGAAAAGGCTTCAGTTTTGTTTACGGACAATAATAAACAGAAACGTGAACAATTAGCTTCCTCATGCTCTAATAAAGATTTCTGCTCCTTTCTTTTCGTTTTTGGGCACATTATTATTTAGTTACTGTGTTGATGCAATATAGGGATGGAAGTATTGTGGGTGGGATGATTCTCACCTACCTGGTGATCAGGATTCTGATTGGTTCATCTTCAAGGGTGAAGGCTGCTCCGTAATTTTGAAGGTGCCACAAATCATAGGTTGTCAGTTGAAAGCGGTGCTTCTCAATGTTGGGTATTCTTCTTGTATGGATGACACAAGGCCTCAGTTTCTCATAAATGTTCTAATCATTAACCACACAAAGGATACGATTAAACTACTGAAGGGGGACCCAGCAACTTTCCCTGAAGATGCAGAATGGCAGAGTATCATTTCAAGTTTTCAACGTGGTGATTTCGTGCAGCTCATTATAAGTATTGGGCCTCAATTTCATGTGAAGAAGATTGCAGCATACCTGATTTATGACGGTTCTAAGCGTCGCAGGTTATTGAAATAATTGTTGCACAAATTGATCCCGGTTTGTAATATAGCCTCGGTACTTCTGTTGTAGGCTGTAATTTTTAGAAAGGGAAAATAACGATTACGGGCCTTTTTAAGCAAGATAATGACAATTGAGGAGCCCAAAATTTGAAACTGCCAATTGCGACAGATTTCAGCCGAGATTTTTGCAAGTCAGCTAGAGCATTTTGGTTCTTAGAATTTTCCTGATCAGTAAATGACCTCGATCTTCAATTGGCTTTTCAAATTTTAGGGTCATTAACTGTCATTATCCTTCTAAAGCTGATCCTAACTGTCATCTTCCCTTTCAAAATCTGTCGTGATGTGTTCGACAATGTAGTGTGTTTGACTGCTTGTGTGTGAAGACTCAGACGGGTCAATTGGACTTTGAAAAGATTATTGTTGTTTTGAAGTTATCTATTGACTGATAAAAGCTTTCCATTCCAACATTGCGATTTGAATATCAACTCTCTTAATGCAATATGAATGTTGGAAGTTCAGATTTTCAAATTTAATTTTCAGAGTAACCAATTTGAAGTCTACCAAAAAAATGGAATATAAAATCAGAGATCAATCCATACATTTCAAGAAACACGTTTCTGAACAGCACTCATCATCCTGTAAACGGTTTTTTTTGAGAAAAGCACAGTAGAATCAGAAACCTTGACCTTGCACCACAAATTTCAAGTGAGTTGCAGTTTAAATGCAGATGTAATGAGGTGGCTTCACATGCTGGGGGCCCTGTCAGGAAGATAAAAGAATAACGCAGGCATTTTTGTTTAGTTATAAGAAGGGAACCTGAATTTATACTTGAGCATCAGAATCAAACAATAAGTAAAATTCCATTTTGGTCCTTCGAGATAACTTCTGTGTCAAATAACTTCATCAATGACTTCTTGTTTCACTTTACTACTCCGGCAGGTTGACTTTATTTCAATCTTTGTTCTGCAAAAATTTACACAGGATACTGAAAGGGTAATGTTAAAACAAATATTACACCTAGGAATGGCCCATGTATAAAAGGATCACAAAGATAGATAGATGTGCATAGAGTTTGCTCTGTTTTAATTGGTTTTCCGATGGATCACGAAGGCAGCCATAGGCATAATTAAAGTACTGTTGTCCTATTTGTTTAAACATAAGTGTGGTCAGAGTCCCCTGCAAATTAGTAAGCTACATCAAGAATACCAATATAAGGCCATACATACTAATGCGGCAAAGTCAAATGGTTCTTTATTCTCCAACATTAATTTCTTCTTCCCATATCAGACTTTCCTGCATCCTATTTTTCACAAGTCAACAAGTAAACTATATTAATTAAATTTGTTTTGTATATATATGTCTTTGCGATTTAACTGGATGAGATTTTTCACTTGGATGTCCTCGAGCTTTATTATATTGGATCTATTAATATGGATTATTATTCCCTGAAATTAAAATTTGCACCTCTCAATAGCTGGAAAGAAAAGACTTTCCCTCAAGAGCTGCAAGCAGGATTTCAACAAGATATTCAGCCTGTTCGTTGAAGCGTTTGGGGGTGAAAAAGTAGTTTATGAGTATGATAAGCCAGTTAGTAAATTTGGGAACTGTTTATCATAGCTTTTGGTCAATTTAACTTATAAATTAAAAGCTAGTTTTCAAGCATGATTGTAAAAACACCTAAAACTTACTCATGACTTTTGCCAAAGTAGTTTTTTGAAACTAAAAGACATTTTTACCCATATGTTTATATTGTTCTTATGCTTCTCATATATTTTTTGTGTTTCTCAATCAGTTTTTAGTAATTTATTTTTAATATTATGTCAAGTAAAACTAACTTTTAACATTTTTTATAATATTTTAATTTTTAATATCATTTTTATTTTATATTGACATAAATTATATATAGTATATCATCCAATTAATTATGTAATATTATTTGGTTCAAAAAAATTTCACATTACTATGATTTCTAATTTAAATATATTTTATTTATTAAATATAAATTTTTCCTATTATAATAATTTAAAATTATTATAAATTGTAAATTCATATTTTTAATCATTGTTCATTATTTAATAAAATTCAAACCCATTTTGGTTATTCTATAAACTAAATTTATTTATTTAACCATAATCCAAATAACTTTGTTATCTTACAAACTTTTATAAAAGTTAATCTAAACACAAATTATATTTTCCAATCTAACTTTTACCTAATCTTACTTTGCTAAAAGTCAAATTGAAAATAAGTTATTTTTTCTACCGCCACTGGCTTTCTTTCACTACCAGCATAGCCACCTATAAATATTTTGCCACTTTACGTTCTCATTTGTCTTCCAATTCTGTACTTTTTACGTTGTAAGCCTTTTTTTTTTAATTATGAATGTGATATACTTTTTTTAAATTTGCAAGATATGATTTATTATTCTAAATATAATAAAATTTATAAATTTAATTTACTTTTTTAAATAAATTTATTAATTCAACTGCATCTGGCTGCTCTATGATGGAGAAGGGAGCATGACTCATTTATAACAGTCCAAGTGAGCAAATCTACCAATATACTACAAACAGTTGAAAAGAAAAAAAACTACCCAAGTCCTATAAAGTAAAAATTAAAAATTATTCACTCAAATACTCTACTTAAAATCATCCAGGTCAAGATCTGCCATTATTTTCTCACACTCACCTAGTCACCTTTCCCGCATCCATGCTATAATGTCCTCATCATTCTTTATTGGCATGGGCGGAACATTTGACTGGTTGGAGTCGGAGGTGGGGCAAAGGGAACGTATAATTATTAATTATTATACTAATTATTATAATTATATTATTCTATTTTATATCTTATCTAAATATTTTTAAAAAATACCTATCATTTATTTGGTGTTTTTAATCAAATATTTGAAAAAAAATTATTATATTTTATTTATATTGTATTAAAAAATATCTAAAATTAATTTTTCAAAAAAAATATAGGTTGACAAGCCAATCGGTCAATTCATTATAACGGGTTATGATCGGCTATAGAAGACAATTGGCCATCACACAAGTCTTTTTTAACTCATATTGCCTGGTACTAACCTGTCCCAGTTGCAAGTTACCCCGTCTTATTAGCCCTAGACGAAAGTGAATGAGGAAACAGTAAAGATATGATATGGTGAAGTGATGGAACGACACCAGCAGAGGTTGGGAGGGGGCAGTCATCGCCGGGTGCTGGCGTGCTGCGGTGGAGGCAGGCAGGCACCCACGTAAGTCAGCAACCTTTCCGGCTTTGATTCCGGGGGCATTTCGGTAATTTTTCTTTTTGGGGGGGATGGGTCAAATGACGATGGGTTAAACTCAAAATGCCTTCATAATTTTATTTTTAAAACTAAAATGGAATTCAATAAAAAATTATATAATTTGCTAAAAATTTGAAATCTTTTATTTTTTTTATATATGTTAAACGCAGGCTATATATGTCTAGAAAATAAAAGTAAAATTTATGCATTTTAAAAAAAAAAATCAAACGCAGCTTGTATAATTTATTTTTATTTTTAGAATAAATTTATGTGAGTTTTAAAAGTTATCGCTATGCATTCATCGCGCCCTTGAAAATGTTGGAGTAATTATTATAGTGTTGCCTGTTATGCTCTTGCACTCACGGACAAATAGTTAATTCTAATATTTTCATAAGGTGGAGACAATTTTCGGACAAATAACTAATTGTAATGTAATGCTGTAATTCTGTGCTAAATATGAGCAGACAATTAAAAATATATGTAGAGCTAAAAACTGAGTGTTAACAGAGCTCCCATAGTCCCCTTGTGCCATTGGCCTTCTTTTGAAGCCTTCTCCTTTCCTGTTCCAGCAATTAATACCCACTCATTTATCCAACGCTCGAAAGTTTTCCTATGACGCTTATACATATTTAATACTACCTCCGGTCCTAATTATAAGACCCAGTTGACTAATTTGGAGAGATTAAAGAACTTAGTTAAGTTAATTATTTGTCTTAAATAGGTGTTGTTTTTCCTAAAATATCTTTACTAATCAAGTATATTGGCTAGAACTACTATTGTTAGAAAGACTATCTTGGAAAAAGTGGATAAATATGAGAGACAAAGTGGATTGGGGTCTTATATTTAGGACCAAAATAAAAGTCAAACAGAGTCTTATAATTAGGACCGAAGGTAGTAGCTAAATTGGTCCATCTCTTATTCTTCATGGCGCGCTAAAATTCTTCTGTTGAACAGTAAGTCTTGCTGGTTTTATTTCTGATAATGATACAATTAAATAACTGATTATATTGTTTTACGGACATTTATTATCGATATGTCTGAAGGTGAGCTGATTCATACCAATGCGAAGGATAGCTTAGGGAAAGTAAACATTGGACAATTGTTTGTTGCTGAGCATCCAATGGGAATAGAGTGTCGAGTTCAGAGACTGGCAAGTAAGTCGTCCAAACAAAGATTCCAAAAAGCTCTTATCATCGGCCTTTGGGGGATAGGAGGCGTTGGTAAAACTACAGTTGCCAAAGCTTTTTACAAATACAGTTCGTCATAAGTTTAGAAGGGCAAGAAGTTTTCCTGCAAATATAAGAGAAAATTCAAAACATTCTAATAACCTAATTAATTTGCAAGAGCAACTCAGTTCTGATATCATTAAAACAAAAGTTTTCAGGATACCTAATATTGACAGAGGGAAAAGAATAATTCAGGAAAGATTTCCCAACATAAAAGCATTTGTTATATTGGATGATGTGGATAGCATCAATCAGCTGAACGTATTAAAACTGGAGATGTGGGAGGAATGTCGATCACAGTTTCGATTTAATGAAAGATTGGTAAGACTCTTGGATGCCTTGTATGAGACAGAATTTATGGGATTGGAATCAACCGGAGATACACCCAAGATCTCATATATGGAAGCTTCTGCATCATCTGAGG